ATTTGTCTTTACCAGTTGCAGGAGACTCTATCCCGGAGGAGCGGCCCCTTGCCTCCATCCCTGAGGGCCGTTCTTTTCTCACCTATCAGCGTCGTCAGACTGCGCCTCCAGCGGATTTGACCCTTACTGACTCACCGCCTACTGTTGTCGCCTCTTCCCCTCCGGATCCTCCATCAGAGATTACTCTCATTGCCCTTCGCAAAGGTATTCGATCCACTCGTAACTCTCATCCACTTTATAGTTTTTTCACCTATGGATCCTAATGTTAATCTGTTACCCGGACAGGGGGAGCCATTAGCAAACCCTGGTCGTTATCGCCGATTAGTTGGAAAGTTGAATTATCTTACTGTGACAAGACCAGACATCTTTTTTGCAGTTAGTGTGACAAGTCAATTTCTTGACTCTCCTTGTGACTCCCATTGGGATGCAGTTATCAGGATTCTTCGATATATCAAATGAGCACCAGGAAGAGGTTTATTATACACAAATAAAGGGAATGCAAAGGTATCTAGCTATCCAGATGCTGACTGGGCATGTTCTCCTTCAGACAGATGATCCACCTCGGGGTATTGTGTTCTCTTTGGAGGAAACTTGATCTCTTGGAAGAGTAAGAAGCAAATTGTGGTCGCAAGGTCAAGTACAGAGGCAGAATATCGGGCAATGGAAAATGCAACCTATGAGCTCATCTGGCTAAAACAATTACTTAAGGAACTACATCTCTGTGAACAACAGCCCATGAAGCTCATTTGTGACAATCAAGTAGCATTGCATATATCCTCTAACCAAGTCTTTCATTAGAGGACCAAACATATAGAAATTGACTGTCACTTTATTAGAGAGAAGATTCAGTCAAGAGAGATCGAAACAGCATTTGTCAATTCTAGTGATTAACTTGCAGATGTTTTTACCAAGGCTCTTAGAGGTCTCCGAATAGATCATATATGTAACAAGCTGGGAGCTTATGATATATACGCACCAGCTTGAGGAGGAGTGTTAGAAATAATATAATATTAAATAGCATTGTATCATTTATTATTCTGTTATTCTAGCAGGTTATTTGGGCTTGGCCCATTAGGTTATTTAAGCCCTTTAAATAGAGGTCTTTTGTACAGTTCTATACACAATTGAATACAATACATTCATACATTATAATTGATATAAAACGCTTGTGGGGATTTTTGGGGCTCACCGGTTACTACCGTCGTTTTATAAGAAACTATGGTCGCATTGCTCAGCCACTTACTGCTTTACCGAAAAAAGGCAACTTTACTTTGACACTTGAAGCCACAACAACGTTTGAAGATCTTAAGAAAGCAATGACTCAAGCCCCGGTATTGGCACTACCCAATTTCGATCTTCCTTTTGCTATAGAATGTGATGCCTCGGGTCGAGGTATAGGAGCTGTTTTGTCTCAAGAAAAGCACCCCATCGCGTTCTTCAGCAAAGCTATAAGTCCTTCCGCTCTCACTAAATCAACATATAAGGAGGAGTTAATGGCGTTGGCCCTAGCCATTCAGCTTTGGAGGCCTTATTTGCTAGGAAGGCGTTTTCAGGTGTTCACAGATTAGAAAAGTCTCAAGTTCCTATTGGAACAACAGATAACCACGCAAGATCAACAAAATTAGTTAGCCAAACTCTTAGGATATGAGTTTGAGATTGCTATAAGCCCGGTTCAACCAATAGAGTAGCAGATGCACTCTCTAGGTGCATGGGAGAACAGGTTGACAAGGAGCTTCAATGTAAGGGTATCTCTTAACCCTTTTGGGATGACTTCAGTAAGGTGGACGCAGAGGTGAGGAGTGATCCTTTTCTGATTAAGATTATTAATGATCTGGAGAAGGATCCCAACTCACACTCTGCTTACATGCTGGAGAATGGTAGATTGCATCACAAGGGCAAATTAGTGTTATCTGCCAAATCAGTTTGGATACCTCAACTATTACATGAGTTTTATTCTTCACCCACAGAGGGGCATTCAAGTATCTATCGTACTTTTCGTAGGTTGGCACAATCATTTTTTAGGGTGGGTATAAAGAGCTCGGTTACCGAATATGTGGCAGCATGTCATCCTTGTCAACAAAATAAGTACTTAGCATCTTCACCTGCAGGCCTGTTATAGCCCCTGCCCATTCCAAATGCTGTTTGGGAAGACTTGAACATAGATTTTATCTCTGGTTTGCCCATGTTTTGGGGTTATACTACAGTTTGGGTTATTGTGGATCGCTTAAGCAAATATGTGTGAAGAACCAATTCAACCCAAAAGCTTAAGCTATTGGGTGAGGCTACATTAATTATTTTTATATATCACAACAATATGCCCACTTTGTGATGCTTAAACACCCATACACAGATCGCAGTTTGGTTGGTATTTTTGTCAAAGAAGTCATACGTTCTTCATGAAATTCCTCTCTCAATTGTAAGCGATAGGGATCCAACCTTAATGAGTAATTTCTGGCGTGAGATCTTTAAATTGCAGGGTACCACCCTACATTTTAGCACTGCTTACCATCCGGAAACGGATGGACAAACGGAGGTGGTGAATCGGACTTTAGAAACTTATCTGTGTTGTTTTTGTTGTGAGCAACCCAAGGAGTGGGGCAATTTTCTCTCATGGGCAGAATACTAGTATAATACCAGTTTCCACCACTCGGTATACACCACACCATTTGTATAGTTTTATCATTCATTTCTTGATCTACACGCGGCTGAACATTCGAGAAGAAACAAAAGAAAGGAATAAAGGGGTATGAATCACGTGGTTAGTTAGTTGGTTGAGTTTGTACATCAGTAGAGTAGGTGGGGTATAAATAGTAAGGCATGGGTCTCATAGGGGGTATGGAAAATTAGACATAGTTTCAGGAATGAGTAAGTCGTTGTAAAAGGGGGGTTTCCTTGGACAAGAGTTGTTCTCTTGTATTTATTTGATTACATAGTAATTGTAAACAACTATTTCAACCCAAAAGCTTAAGTTGTTGGGTGAGGGCTTTTTAATTGTTTATACCTTCTCCAACACGTCCCCTCACACGAGAATCCACTGGGCTTGGAGGGTGGACAATGCACAGGCTCACTTACCTGTGCTAAGAAAATTCCACAAGAAAAAGCGGGGGCGGTGAGGATCGAACCTGTGACACTGAGGTTTTGATACCATGTAAAGAACTAATTCAACCCAAAAATTTAAGCTGGTGGGTGAGGGCCTTTTTAATGGTTTATACTATTTTCTAAAAGCTTTTGGGTTGAAATTAGTTCTTTTCATGGTATCAGAGCCTCGTGTCCCGGGTTCGGTCCTCACCGCCTCTACTTTCTCTTGTGGAATTTTCTTAGCATAGGTAGGTGGGATCTGTGCATTGTCCACCCTTCAAGCCCAGTGGACTCTCGTGTGAGGGGGGAGGGGGTGTTAGAGAATAGTATAAACTATTAAAAAGGCCCTCGCCCACTAGTTTAAGCTTTTGGGTTGAATCGGTTTTTTAGAATAATAACATCAGTTGTTTCTCTATCACCTATAGTCTGGTTGTCTCTGTTATTTGCCAATCTTCGTAACAAGATTCCTGGCATGCTTAGTGTACGAGAGTTGGACAGTTTCTGCATAAATGAGTCCAATTCCTCCACTTGTTGCTCTTGGTCTATTGTGTTAGAAAATTCTTATTCTCCTGATGCATTTCTTTTGATCTTCCTTCACTTTCTAGTGACCACTAATAATAGGGAATTATAGAAGTAAACTCTCTACTTAAATGGTGCAGCTTTTGATTTGAGAACCTGGGAAAGATAGTTCTATTATTTGTTGAGGATTAGGTAGCGTAGTGGCGGATCTATTTGGTTTTCTATGTGTGAAAGTGTATACATAAATTTGGTCATACATTTTTTTTTAGTAAATAAGAGATATATTTTTTAAGGGAAAAATTCACTAATGCCCTTGTGGTTTGCTTGAGAATCACTTATGCCCCTGTGGTTTTTTTATCACATATGCCTCTGTGGTATGTAAAAAATAATAAACCATAGGGGCATATGTAATAAAAAACATACCCTTTTGCAAACCAGAGGAGCATATATGATAAAAAAAAAATCACAGGGACATAGATGATTCTAGAGTAAACCACAGGAGCATTGATGAACTTTTCCTATTTTTTAATTAATTATGAGTGTCACTCAAGGAGCAATTTTAGTGGCTGTATTACCAGGAATAAAGCACAGATATTAAGAAAGAAACACATATTATTTACTGTTTATGTTTTAGTGGTTTTATATCATTAAGTTGATTACTATTTTTTAATGTTAAGTTCAAGTTTTCTTTTCTTTTGTTGTTTGAGGATTATATCCCTCATATTATGTGAATGAAATTTTTTGTCAAGTTATATAATATTAAAGAAAGGGAGATGACACATTATTCAATGAATTGGTCTTGTCTTTCAAGTTTTCTTTTCTTTTTTTGGTTCATGTAACATAAGGATATAATATATTTTTTATATTCTTTTATATTTTAATGCATTTAAAACTTTGTTTATTTTTTTTTTTCTCCAGAAGCACCGCCCCTAAATCCCCTCTACTAAATATTCGGACTAAATATGCACAAATAAATACAATTTCCTGGGTCCGCTACTGAGGTAGCGTAAAACCACAGTTTTCACCCAGAAAAAACCTTGGTCACTGGTAATATGGCTTGTATCTGTTCCTGGACTTCCAAATTTATTACCAAATACTTTAGTTTCGCTTCCAGTGCGAATTTGACAGCGTGAAAAGCTTTTCTCTCATTTGCTGACGTAAAAGATGCATTCAGTTTTCTCATATATCAATATAGCATTAGTTGATAGCTCTCATCATAAGTCATAACTCACCTATGAACCCAAATATTGTATCCTTGTTTCTGTGTCATATGTAGTTATAACTATTATACGTTGCCATAATTGACCGGTTATTAGCATCATTTGGCATTGTGAAATTGCTACTTCCCAGTGGCCGGTCCTGCTGGTATCTCTTGACTGTAGAGGTCTACCTGTATCTTTCAGGCAGCAGCTATCCGATTGGAAGTCAGAGGTGGGGAGTGGAAAGATGCGTATATGCAAATGGATGGGGAACCCTGGAAACAACCATTGAGCAAGGACTTCTCCACATTCGTAGAAATAAAGAGGGAACCTTTCCAGTCACTCATGATTAGTGGAGAGTGATTCTTTGTGAAGGTTGATTGTTCCATAGGTGGGATTCATACAATGCGTGTATATTAAATGTAACGTAATTTTAGGTCATAGCTCTACTGTATGGAAAAATGAATATTGTCAAAATTCATCTCCTATTTTTTTCATCCTTAAAATCTAGTTTTTATAATCTTTGAAGCTGGTGATATTACACGCTTTTGTGGAGTTTTCTCAGAAAATTATGGTGTTGAAGGGCATACGGGATTACGCGGCCTCCGATTGTTCACGGAAGATCCTCTGTCAGTTACCAACCGCTCGTCCTTAATCTCTGATCGTCGAAAACCACAGTTAGCTGTCATTCACCGTCATCACCACGAGAATATCTTTGGTATTGCGGATGCACCGAAAACTTGGTACATCTTCCACTCATATTGTGACACGTGTCTTACTTTATATCAAATCAGTTTATCTCCTAATTTTAAAATAAATTATTTATTATTGATTTGACAAAAGTAAAACACGTGTCAGTATGAATAAAAGATCCACCGAATTTACGGTGCATCCATAACACCAAAAGAATTTTCCATCACCTGAGCCTTTTTATAACACCGTGTGTTCGACTCGTATGATTACGTGTTATGAAATTCAAACGGTAACTAATCAAATAAAAAAATCTTAGGAGTTTTAAAGTCTTATAAATTCTACTTTTACCACTTTTAACTTAGGAAACACCATAAATACAAAAGCAATAAAGCAGAACAGTCCCAAAGATACATAACACGAAGAATAGAAAACAACTCATGTCCTAGATTGGCAGCGTTACTTTATGGCAGAACTGGGAATGGGTTTGGTTACCAAAAATTCTTAATTCAGACGTGTCAAAGTAGGCAGCACCCTAAGCTTTCCAGTGATATACTATTTGTGATTTTTGGACATCTGTGGGCTTACATTAATTCTAGAAGATGGTTGTACTAAGTGACCAAAGTGCAGAAAATTTCAATGGGTTGGTGACTCTTACGTTACGTATAGGAAATTCTTAGTGATTGAAGTCTAAATTTTTTCTAGAACGGGGAGGTTGATAAACAGGAATACAAGAAGTCTAAAAACGTTCAGTTTAGTTCATTATGAATTGAATTAGAGATGACCGTCTGAAGTAAGATTACTTAAGGACAAATTTTGTACATACAACAGATTTATTGAGAAAATTTATGGATTTAAGTAATTCATAAAAGGACATAAAAGTGAACAAACTTGTGTATGTTCTAGGATTCCAATTATATCCTTAAAAGGTTTAGACATACATTTAATTCTTAATATTATAGTCATATGAATTGACATTTCAAATCACTCATACACATAGGCGGACCTAGGGGAGGGTTAGGGTTGCCCACCCCTCCCTAAATTTTTAATTATTTTATTATTATATATATAATAGTATTTTGGTAATATTAATAAGTTATTAAAACTAAAAGTTAGCACCTCTTTAAAATAAAAAAATAAAAAAATAAAAATAAAAACTAAAGAAAACCCTATCCCCACCAACTACCCCTTGTTTTCTCTTTCCATGGCTTCTATTTCTTTTCTTTTTTTACCTTTAAATAAAATTATTGTTTCTTTTTTTAAGAAACCAGTTTCACTTCATCCTTGAATCATAAATCAACAAACATTGATTTGTACTCTATAGCGGCACAAGGTAAGCAATTTTAGTAGAGTTTCTAATCTTTAACTTGTTATATTTGAAATTAAAGGAAAGCAATTTCCATTTTGAAAAAAAGAATAATAATACAAAAATATATTTCGTGATATTTTCAATCATTTGACACCGTCATTGATTGGATTTATAGCTTCTTAATGTGAAACAGTAACACTATAATTTCAATTCATAACTAATTAGTACTTTATGCTCATAACTTCAACGCTTAATAATGAGACAATGTTTTAATTATGACGTGTCAATTAGTTGGACATGTGTCACTTAATGTAACTGCATGTTGCTATTAGTTAGTTACGTGTCAATTAGTTGGTTAGATGGTTTTGCTTCTCTATTTTTCGATACACACTGCAATATATATATTGTAATAGTGCTACAGTTCTCAGTACATTGATTCAGTTCATCTTTTACACTTATTCTTGAATATGAGTTTCATATACTTCACTGTATCTTTTGTTTCTTTCCTTCTGTATTGTATGATGGTATCAGAGCTCTTCACAGAGCTCTGATATGCACCTTTAATTTTTCTTTCTTGCATGCATTTAGTTTCAACTTGTTACTGTTTGATCTGGTGTTGCTGATCGATTCAGATCTAAATTTGTAAACAAAAAGGCGGTTCAGAGTTCTGTGAATGCAATGGATGCAGAAGTTGAAGATGCTACTGAAAACGTTCGTTCATCTAGGCATGGGAGTGCGGTGAACACGAATCTGATTGATATGTTGGATCCAGGGAGCCCTTACTATCTTCATCCAAGTGAGAATCCATCACTTGTTCTTGTTTCAAATCTGATGAACGGAAGAAATTATCATGGATGGTGCAGGGCTATGACAATGGCTTTGATCTCAAAGAACAAGTTGTCGTTTGTGAATGGTATGATTTTTGCTCTAGAAACATCAGATCCACGTTTTGCAGTTTGGGAGAGATGCAACACCATGGTTCTTTCCTGGTTGCATCGTTCAATTACCAGTTCCATATCTCAATCAATCTTGAAGATGGATAAAACATACGATGTGTGGAGAGATCTCAAAGAAAGGTTTCACAGTCTGATATTTTCAGAATATCAGATTTACAAGATGACATTTATCCATTGCATCAAGGAGATAGTTCAATCTCTATTATTTCACTCGGCTTAAGATTTTGTGGGATGAGTTGGAAGCACTACAACCAACTCCTACATGCAAGTGTGTACGTCCATGTTGTTCAATTGCTGTTGAAGTTAAGAACATCAAAGATAAGGATTATTCAATCTGATTCCTTAAAGGACTTAGCGAACAGTTCTCTCATGTTAGGTCCCAAATTATGCTGATGGATCCACTTCCCTCTGTCAACCATGTGTTTTCTCTTGTTGCACAACAAGAGAGGCAGTTACAGATCGAAGGTAATGCTTCAAATCATGATCCTTCAAGAATTTTTTTTAACTCTGTTGAACAGATCCAAGAGATAGGACAGTCACAAGGCCGTGGAAGAGGATCTAGACTTTGTACCTACTGTGGAAAAACTAGCCACACAATAGAGACATGTTTTGAAAAGCATGGTTATCCTCCTGGCTATAAACAAAGAAGTGTTGTACATAAGGTTAATGCAGCTGTGAATGAAGATAAAGGTTCTGATCAAATATATAGTACTCAGGCTGAGACAAAGGAGAGCTTTACCAAGAGTCAGTATCAGACTATCATGGAGATGATTCAACAGTCGATGCTGATACAACAGAAATTTAGTCCACCCTCTTCTCATGTCAGTAACATGGTGCACACTAAGGCTCTTAATGCAGATGGGAATTCTTATGGAGCAAGTAAGTTGGAGAATCAGTGGGTCCTGGATACAGGAGCCACTGATCACATCACATTATGCTTCACAAATTTATCTTTTGTTAAGCACATAGAGCCAGTAGCCATATCCTAACCAAATGGGACACGAGTATTTTCTTATATTTCTGGTACAGTGGTTATTTCCAATACACTCACATAGAGAGATGTCTTATATGCAAAGGAATTTGGAGTGAATTTGATATCAGTAAATAAACTGATTCATGAAACTGATTGTCATGTGACATTTAAGCATCAGACTTGTTTCATTCAACAACAACAGTCCAGGAGATGATTGGTTCTGCTAGTTTGATGAGAGGATCATATGTGATCACTCAAGGTGGTCCAAGGCATGAAGGTTCAACTGGTAACACAGCAAGGCAGCTGAACTTTTCTAATAATAGCAGTTTTGTTTCAGAAACTAATGCCACTGATGTTTGGCATTTATGTTTGGGCCATTGCTCCAAACCTGTAATAAAGGCCATGATGCTACAATACCCTTTTATTACTTGTAAAGATATATATACACCATGTGATGTTTACCATATGGCAAAACAGAAAAAGCTTTCCTTTAGTTTGAGCAATGTTGTATCAAAGAATCCTTTTGATCTTGTACATATAGATATCTGGGGACCATATTTTGTGTCCTCCATTCATGGTCATTGTTTCCTTTTAACAATTGTTGATGATTGAACTAGATATACATGGGGAATACTTACGAAATCAAAATCTGAGGTGAGACAACACATCTGTGCTTTTGTTGCCTTAATTGAAAATCAATTTTACAAAACAGTCAAGGCCTTTCGTAGTGATAATGGGCAGGAGTTTTTAATGACTGAGTTTTTTAAACAAAAGGGGATTCTTCATCAAACTTCTTGTATAGAAATACCTCAACAGAATGGTGTTGTTGAGAGAAAGCATCAACACCTGCTAAATGTTGCTAGGGCTCTTCTTTTCCAAGGGAAACTTCCTATCAGTTTGTGGTCTTATTGTATAATTCATGCCATACATTTGATCAATCGACTCAGCTCACCAAAGTTGAATAATAAGTCACCATATGAGCTATTATACAATAATTCACCTGTAATCATTCATCTTAAAGCTTTTGGTTGCCTTGCTTTTGCATCAACAATCATGGCAGGACGTTCAAAATTTGATTCTAGAGCCCGCAAGTGTGCATACATTGGGCACGAGGATGGGACAAAAGGATACATTTTGTATGACTTATTTTCAAAACAGATTTTTGTTTCAAGAAATGTTGTATTCTATGAACAACACTTTCCTTTCAAAGATGAAGTCTTGGCTCAACTTTCAATTCTCACGCCTACTGATCAAGTTTCAACTCCCCTTTGTGAAATTACTATCTCATGTCATCATCAAGACTCACCTGATGTTCAAAGGTCAGGAAATTCAGAAACTATAGTACCAGAAAAGAGTCATGTTGAGAACTTAGAACATCAAGAGCCTAATGGAGAGATTCTTGTCAATTCTTCACATCCTGACAGCTCCAATTGTGTCCACAATCCAGAAGAATGCACTCTCAGGCGTTCTACAAGGGTAAGAATTCCTCCCAAACACTTATCAGATTTTCAATGCAATTTTTCCTCTGCTGATACACTATCTAATTCCTCATCTACTGCTCATCCTTTGTCATCTGTTATTTCATATGCAAACTGTTCCTTGGAGTACACATCCTTCTGCCACAACATCAGCTCTTTTGTTGAACAAACCACTTACAAACAAGCAGTTAAATTCCCTAAATGGGTAACTGCTAGAGTTAGAGGCACTACATCGAAACAATACTTGGGATATAGTAAATCTACCAAAAGGAAAACACCACATTGGTTCTAAATGGGTGTACAAGATTAAACACAACTCAGCCGGAACCATTGCACGTTACAAGGCCCGTCTGGTTGCAAAAGGGTACAATCAAATGGAAGGTGTAGATTATTTTGAAACATTCTCACCTGTTGCGAAGCTCACTACAATCATATTACTGCTCACAGTTGCAGCCTCACGCCAATGGCACTTGGAGAAACTTGATATCAACAATGCCTTTTTGCATGGTGACTTATCAGAAGAGGTCTATATGTCCATTCCACGAGGATTTGCTGTCAATCGAGATCAGAAGGTATGCAAATTACGAAAATCTTTATATGGGCTTACACAAGCCAGTAGGCAGTGGAATGCTCGTTTGACTATGGAACTTATTTCACTTGGTTACTCTCAATCCTCATCTGATCATTATCTCTTCACAAAATTTAATGGAAAACACTTCACTGCTCTCCTGGTCTATGTAGATGATATGGTGCTCGCTGGAAATGATATTGATGAAATAGAGATGGTCAAGAGTCACTTAGATAGATTGTTTAAGATCAAGGATCTTGGCCCTTTAAAATTCTTTCTTGGTATTGCAATAGCTCGTTCCAGTCGTGGCTTGGTTTTAAATCAAAGGAAATATGTCCTAGAATTACTAAGTGACAGTGGATTGCTTGGGACAAAGCCAGCTTCAACTCCAATGGAACCTGGTCTTCACCTTCGCCAAAGTCAAGGTCCTGCCTTCCCTGAACCAGCAAAATACCGCAGGCTAGTAGGGAGACTTTTGTATCTCACCAACACAAGGCCAGACATTGCATTTGCTGTCCAACAATTGAGCCAGTTTGTGGCTAATTCCATGCAAGCTCATTTCAATGCTTCATGTCGTGTCCTCAAGTACTTGAAAGGATCTCCAACTAAGGGTCTATTTTTTCCCTGTGACAATTCGCTAGTTGTATCAGGGTTTGCAGATGCAGACTGGGCAACTTGCCCAGATACCAGAAAGTCAATAACAGGATTCTACATTTTCCTTGGAGCATCATTAGTGTCTTGGAAATCCAAGAAACAAACCACAGTGAGCCGTTCCTCTGCTGAATCTGAGTATCGAGCACTAGCTACTCTCACATGTGAAATGCAATGGTTAGTACATCTACTACATGATTTGCAAGTTCCATTCACACAACCATCCATGATCTATTGTGATAATCAATATGCTATCCACCTAGCCCACAATCCTACATTCCATGGGCGTAGCAAGCATATAGAATTGGATTGCCATATAACAAGGGAAAAGATTGCTGCTGGTTTGATCCGTCTTCTACCCATTTTGACCACTCAACAACTGGCTGATGTTTTTACAAAAGCATTACATCATGCACCCTTCCATGATTTTATAGCCAATTTGGGACTTCATGATATTCATCTTCCAACTTGAGGGGGGTAGTGAGACTACGTTTTAACTATGACGTGTCAATTAGTTGGACATATGTCACTTAATGTAACTGCATGTTGTTATTAGTTAGTTATGTGTCAATTAGTTGGTTAGATGGTTTTGCTTCTCTATTTTTCGATACACACTGCAATATATATATTGTAATAGTGATACAGTTCTCAGTACATTGATTCAGTTCATCTTTTATACTGATTCTTGAATATGAGTTTCATATACTTCACTGTATCTTTTGTTTCTTTCCTTCTATATTGTATGACTTAATGATACAATAACTATTAAAACACATTCTCTCTCCGTTTCTTTTACAACTACTAAAAGAGCTTTCCTTGCCATGAAAATAATTAATAACACACGTTGAAAATTTTAATATCAATTTCTTGATCATTCTTTGATATTACACATATGGAAAAAAAATTGTTTTGAATTTTAACATAGATTCAATTATAGAAGAGTTTAATATAACACCTCGCATTTCTAAAACAAATATTAATATATTAAATATAGGTTAAAGGGTAGAATTAGCGAAAATCCTGAAATTACGGCCAAAATACAAAGGAAGGGTAAAACGGTAATTAGCCAAACACGTAATCCTAGGAAGGTAAAGTTGAGTAGGAGGTCTCAAATGATAAAAAATAACCTTGAAAATGGATTTAGAATGAAAAATTGAGTGGTTATGAAAGTTTCTGAAAATTCGGTGAATAGTATTTTTACTTGGTAAAATTATCGCGGTACAGTTGCACCGTAAAGCGTGTCAATTGAATTTTGAGCTCTAGTTTTGGATATAAGTTATAAATGGTATATAGGACTAAGAAATATGATTTCTGGTGAAAATTGATGAAATTAGTAAGTTTGGGGAAGCGTGCTCAGGCGCGCATAACAGCTTAAAATTGCAATTTCTCCGAATGATCGGAAAACTCCGGATTCATCTGATCAAGGGCAATTAAAGGAAAATGCTTAATGTTAAAAATTAGAGTTTCTAAATAGGTTATGAAATTATGGACGTTTAGTGGAATAGGCGAGAGAATTTAAATTAGTTTGAAATCGCATGAGGTGGCGGTGGGGCCCACCTCACTTTAGTGACTTGGCCACATGGACCAGCCACTATTCATCATCATCTAAAACTCCCTTCTCTTGTTATCAAAAAAAAAAAAAAAAACTCCCTTCTCTCTCTACAAAACCGTGGAACCCCCCCTCCCTTGGCCATTTTTGTTTCAAATCTTCTCTTCCTCATAACTCCTTCAATACTACTCCGAATCAAGAAAAGTTTGTGAGCAAAGTTGTTGGAAATCCTTACCCGAACACATCCCACCGATTAGTTTCCCTTGAAACCCTCTCATTTGTGAGAAAAATGGAAAATTCAGCCACGAATTTGAAGGGAATTTTGGGAATTTTGGAGTTGTTTGCTCAAGCCATTGCTTGGGGATCACTTGGAGGAGTCTTTTGACTTGATTGTGGGTAAGTTTCAACACCTTTCATTGGTTAATTTGATGGATTTGATTTCATCAACCCTAGGGCTTGCATGCTTGATTGATGTAGTTAGAGAGCTCAAATTGAAAATGTGTATTAGATAAAAGTGGCTTAGAATGATGTTTTAGAGTGATAGAAACCATAAATATATATTATTTTTTTTTATCTTACCAAAAAATTATTAAGGCTTAGAATTCTAACTTAGGCAAAATTTGATGTGGGAATTCAACACTTTATGAAATTGGAATGTTGTATGATTGTGTAATTAAATTGTGGAGTGATTGTATGGGTTAATTATAGGATTGTATAGGGTGTGGAAGTATTGAAATGAATCAAAAATCATTTGGTATCCTTGCATGAAGATTTCGGCCATTGTAGGGTATATAGGGTTCAATGATGCAAAAAATTGTGTAATTGATGTTGTGTGTTGCTAAATGACATTTAGAGGTGTTGTGTGATGAGTGGATGCATGGAAAATCTAAGGAAAATTAATTGGATTGTGTGGATTTTGAAATTGGACCTAGAGAGGAATAAATGGAAAAATGGTGTTGTAGTGGTGTAGGGTTGAAAGTGGCACCTAAAATTGTGTTGTGGTAGCATTACGATGCTAAAAAAAATAAAAAGAAAATTTAGGAAAATATTTTGGAAATTAACACTATGTTGGCCGAACCTTGCCTTTGTTGGGAGGATTTTGATGCTTTGTGATTTTGGCGGGTTCACCTTGTATTGATGATCCGTGTATGATCATTGTAGGTTGCCTCCCGCGGAATTGAACACTGAACCGTGAGCTCGGTGGGTTGCCCTTGGTCTCGGACCAAAGGGATTGTGGCATTTCTGTTTGGACTGGACAATCTCCATGCTCACCAACCAAATAAGGCAACAAGCCCCAATAGCAGTCTCAACAATAACAACATAACATAACAGCATCCAGCATATAATTATCACAGTAGACATCTAA